AAAAAAAAAAAAAAAAAACAAGTCTTAAAAAAATGGAAGCCATTCTAATTGAAATAGTTTTTATAAACTGAAATCCTTAAATATTTAATATGTTCTACAGTAAATAAGTATGTAATATATATAGAAGACACAGTTAAATCCTATTTTTTTAACTTAAATTGTTCTATTTATGAGAGAGAACACTTACATGTGAGAAAGAGAGAGAGAGAGAGAGACACCCTCAATGGGGTCTTATTATGCTACAATTCCCTTTTCCCAACCCTTCAGCTCATCAGGAGTGAAGTAGCCATGTGCATGGCCGGCGTGTCTTTGAGGCCAACCCAAGGACCTACAACCCAGAAATCTACAGTGCCCGATGAGCACTGTGGTCAGTTTGCTCCTAACTACACCACTGGGCTGGACGCTAAGCTATTATTTTTTAAAGTTACTCAGTCTTTTAACTTTTTAATACAGCATTTTCCTTATTAGACTAATTTCTAGTTTACTTTGCCTTACCTATAAATGAATAGCAATTTTTTCTAATTACAGTATAATACTAATGAACATGTCTGTACCTTTTAGCTAAACAAATATATAAATAATAACAGTTTTAGTTGGGAGGCTTACCATAATTTCAAGCTTAAAAAATAAATTATTAAATATAGTTAGTGCTTTTCCTTTTTTTCAGTTAATTAATATATTTCTATATATTTAGGTAAACTCGAAACATACATATTTACTGCAGAAAAGTCATAAAATCAAAAAAAAAAGGCACAGTGTTCATTTTTAGCAGCAGACTCTCACATCTTCATGATGTGTACAGACAAACATACAGGATACACTGGAAGTTCCTTAGTGGAAAGGTCACTAGCAAAATATTTTGTATTAAATAATTTAGATATGGGAGCCAGCGGCTGCTGTAGTAGTTAAGGTGCAGGACTCCCCATGGCCTACCATGGTCCAAGTCCCAGACCCAACGGATGGAAAATCATGCCAGGCATGTATGTGCACGTGCCTAAAATCCCAAGAAGAGAATGGAGGAGAAGGGAATGTGGCATGGCCATCCCATCAGAGGGGATAACTGCTCACTTTCCCTCCCTCTGTCTCTACCTCTGGCAAGCACACATACCCTACAGCAAAAACCTGAAAAAAAATTAATTAGGTATGACTAAAATTAATCTTATATATTACGTATTATTATATAATAAGTTTTGAAGTCAAAGACATACCTTAAGTATGACTTAAAATATTTCATTGTGGAACCAGCAGATGGTGTAGTGATTATGTTGCTGGACTCCACATGACTGGCTGCGGTCTGAGTTCTAGACCCAGTGGCTTGAAACTCATGCCGGGTGCATGTGCACCTGGGAGGGAAAATGGAGGAGAAGGGATCCTGGGAGGGAAAATAGAGGAGAAGAGATTGTGCATGGCCAACTCCCTTGGGGTGGTTATAGTCATATAAAATTTCATTGAACCTGCTCAAAGGTACAGTAGTAACGCACTGCTCCGTGGAAGGCCACGGTTTTGGTTGCCAGTCAACCTATACCTTCTGGGTGAACAGACATATTCTTTGCTGGCTTGGGAAGGCTGGGAGCAGAGAGGGGATCATGACATGAGACCCGAATGAGAGTGCTTATCTTCTTTCTCTTCTCTTTCCATACCTCTTCCTCTCTCTTTTTCTCTTCCTCGTTCTCTTTGTCTCCCCTTCTGACTCTCATAAAAGAAAGATATAAACTTTAAAAAAAACGGTGATAATCTTTTTTTCAAAGCAAAATATAGCAATGAAAGCCAACAAAATAATTAGAGCCTCAAGCTCAGAACTAAAAAAGAATCTAAAAATAAATGACATTAACATTTATTCCAGCACTATAAAGTCCTGTATTAGCACATTTACTTCCTAGAAAGGTGGAAAGTTGTGTGTAAAGTGAAAAAACAAGCAGCACAGAGACAGAAAGAAAAAGGACTGAAGAGACTGGAGAAGGGAAGGTTTAGATGGATTTCTTTTAGCCCTGCCTTGATAAAATCCCCATTAGGAAATCCATCTCTGGCTTATTGTCTTTTCCTTCCAACATAAGTCATTTGTTTTGTTTTCTTATTTAATACACTTATAGTGATCAGACTAAGCAAGGCAAAATCAAGAAAATTACTTAGTATATGTGTGAAAAGGATTTATCTTAATGATTACAGCTTGGACAAAATTCGCCCTTAATCTTCTGAGTTTTATAGTCATGATAAATTAAACTTGGTATTTTTCAGTCTTTTATTTCCCTCTAAGTAAAGGAATATTTAATTTAAAGGAAATAATTACCATTGAAATGTGATCACCTGGATAACAGCTGTTCTCACTGCATTCCCTCTTTTTTCTTTTGCTTTATTTAATGAATCTTGAGCATGTTTTGTTGCCTGTCTGCATTACCAAAACTGCCTTGGGCTGGCAGATAGTGTAGTGATTAAGGCACTGGACTCCCACAAAACTGACCCAAGACTGATCGTGGTTTGAGCCCCAGGCCTGGTGGTTTGCTTTCTCACTTTTTCTCTCTTCCTCTCTCTTTCTCTCTTGATTCTCTCTGGTGAGTGCACATACCCTATATCAAATAATAATAAGTAAAATAAAATTCTCTAAAAAATAAAACTGTCTCTCAGACAACTGAAACCAGCTCTGAGTGTCCAGTCCACTTGTTGAGTACAGATATAGTCTGCACAAAAACTCCTTTGTTCTGAGCTGCCCACGGTGGTGAGGTGGTGAGTCGCAAGGATTCACAAGGGCACAGCTATACCCAAGTCATCTGTACTGGAAACAGCATTGTCCTTAAAACTGCCTGGTACTTCATCATTCAGTTGCTGATCACTTATTGAAATGTAATGTACTCTTGAAATACCTTTCTTTGGATTGTTTTGTTCTTGGGGATCAGTATAAATGAACAGTATGTGGTCTGAGGGCAAAGAGACCTAAGATCCCATGGCCATCCTGCTGTTTCCTTCAAGACCTTTGGGACACATCATTTTACCTGAAATTATCTGAATTGTGACTCAGGTAAAAATAAGGCAGGGTTAATCATTTCTGCCATAAGTTGTTCTTTTGACAATGAGAGGGTTTAGATAGAACACCTCTAGCAGACAGCAGCTTGCATAGTACCCACTCAAATGAAACCCATTAAATGAAAATGTTAGAAAAATATCTGAAACCAAAAAAGCAAAACAAAACCAAAAATTCTGACTATTAGGTAGTAATACCACAAACTATCTTATCAAATAGCAACAAAGGTGCTTTCTCTTAACTACTTAAAAAGCCAATTATTAGACCTTTTTAATGAACTGCTCAAGTGAACCAGCCCCAGGCAGAGGCTCCATAAGAAAAACAACGTGTTGTTTAAAAAAAAATTGTTTTTTTCCCACAATGATGGAAAAGATCACTATTGGGGGAAAAAAATGACATGAACAAAGAAACCACAGATGGAAACAAACAAATGTTCTTTATTCATGAAAGCATCTATGTGCACACATGAGAGAGAGAGTAAGAGACAGACACATGCGCACCCCCCACCAGGTCTCCTCACTCTGTGAGCCCCTTCTCCCAGACCTCCAGCCCAGATACGAACCTCAGCGGCCATGTGGGTTCCAGCTTCTCTTGAGCAGCTCATTATTGCAGTACCATAGAGCTTGTCCACATGTGTTATAGTTAACTCTTCCTTTTTAAACAAATCTTTTTTAGTTTAATACAGAGTTATCGTCACCAGGAATAAAAATGTCAAGGTAAGCAGTTCTTGTAAGTCAAACCATTGTACATACAAGCCTGAAATCCTGCCTTTCATATAAATAGATAAATATTCATGTGTTAAGAGCCTTTTATGTATATGTAAGCCTTCCAACCAGAAAGAACTATACTGCATATTGCTAAAGGAATACCAATTCTCAGAAAAAGAGAGGCCCCTAGATATCCTTCATTCACTAACCCCCTTTTATATTTGAGTCTAGTGTCCCAAGACAATTCATTGTATCTTTATGTGGACATGGTTACAGCAAATATCTGAGCACATTTATGGGATGTGACATATAATATTATAATGGAGATGAAATCAATATATACTCGCTTATTTTACTTTTTATAATTCGCAGACTTTACAGAAGTTACTTTATTTTTATGTTTCCCAATGTTCCTCCAACAATTCAGAGACAAACACCATGCTCTCTATTACAAAATGGTAATTACAAAATATTCAGAATTTGTTGAGTTTTGCATGTTATTGTTACTGTTGGTAACATTATACTCTCGTTCTTCCTTTCTTTTTTTAGCAAGAAAGTTTTGCTATAGGGTGTGAGTGCTTGCTGGAGACACAGAGAAACAGAGAGACACAAAGTGAGAAATCACCCCCCTCAGTGGGGATGGTCACACCACGATCCCTTCTCCTCCTCTCACAGTTTTTGACATACACACACATGCACCTGGCATAAGTGTGAAGCCACTGGATCCAGAACTTGAACCGCAGTCAACTACATGGGAATCTAGTGACTTAACCATTATTCCATCTGCTGGTCCTAGCAGAATTATACTCTTATTTGCTAGAAGACTTATGCTTCCAAAATGAGTAAGAAGATCCCTAAGTATTATTAGAGTCCTTAAACCTAGTTAGCCAACATCCCAGTATTCTTGTGTATGGTATGGTGTGTCTTGTGTGTGTGTATATGTGTGTGTGTGTGTGTGAGAGAGAGAGAGAGAGAGAGAGAGAGAGAGAGAGGGAGGTCTGACTGCAAGTTAGTTGATAGACATTCTCCTAAAGTAAGTACAAAACCCATGATTTCTTGCATCTGCCACATTCTGGCAGTAAAGAAAGTGACTTTAATAGTGACAATACATGAGCTAGTAACAGAACACCCAGTGTGCTGGCATCAAAAGACCCTGTGTAAGAATCTGGAATGTTCATTGATTATGATACGGTTACTGAATAATGTTGACCTCGAGAACATGATTTGAGTACAAAATGGGAAACTATGTTAAAGAGACCTCAAAATCTGTTGATGGAAGAAGAAATGGTTTATTCAGCTCTATACCCTGCCACAGGTCTCCGTGTGGCCAAGGTGCAGGATTCTTCCTTGGAAATTTCCTGCCAGTTCATAAGAAGTAGATTCTAGTTCTAAACGGATCCCATTTTGCTTCCTTGTGAGACCTCAACTGCTCACCTTCCACAGCTGTGGGAATCTACAATAGGGATATTTTCATGTCAACTATTGTACCAAAAAGAGAGAAAGCAAAGCAGCCGATCTTCTTGAACAAGACTGGTTTCATCCTTTACTTTTTTTGAACACACAGAATGCAGTCAGATCAGCTGGGATGCAATTCTGAATGTAACTGCTTACGAACCAGAGCAAGTCCTCACTTGTATAAAGAGAAAAATGATGACACCTACCTCAACTATCACACTGAATCCATGCAACAACTATATACACAATACTTAGAACACTGACTTGATGGGACAGTTGGCATAATGGCTATGCCGCTGGACTCCCATGTAGTTGACCGTGGTTCGAGTTCCAGAACCGGTGGCTTAAACTCATGCTGGGCGCGTGTGCGTGCATGCCCAAGATCCCGAGAGGAGAAGGGATTGTGGTGTGGCCATCCCCCCCCCCGGTGGAGTGATTTCTCGCTTTCTGTCTCTCTGTCTCTCTCTCTCTTTCTGGCGAGTGCAGGCACCCTATGGTAAAAACTTCTCCAAAAAATAAAAAGATGGTTGATGCCTCACTACACTGAATATATGGAACATTTCAAAGGAGAATATTATTCAAATATCCACAGAATGACAGTGTAATATATGCCAAAAATGGATTATAAAATGAAAAAATTATCAAATAATCTAATTTTAAAAAGCACTTTGTTGTTGTTGTTGTTGTTGTTGCTAATGGGTGCATGCACTCACCAGAGAAAGACAGAGAGAGAGAAAGAGAAAAATCACCTCCTGGGAGGATGGACACACTGCAATCCCTTCTCATCCATTCTCTTGTCAGGATTTTGGGCACATATGTGCTCAGAGTGAGTTTGAAGTGGCTGGGCCCGAGACTCAAACTACTGTCGGCCATATAAGAGTCCAGGAACATAACCTTTATGCCTCGTGCTGGTCCCAAGAAAGCACTTTCTTTGCAATTTCTTTTTCCTCAAAGGTTGGACTTTTTATTTTTTAGAATTATTTATTTATTTATCATTATTATTTTTAAATTTAACAGAAAGAGAGAGAGAAAGTGAGATAGCAAGTCTCCAGGGGCAGGACTTGAACAACAGTCAGCCACGTGGGAGTCCAGCTCCTTAACCACTATGCTATCTGCCGACCCATCTATTTATATTTGACCATCACAGTCAAATCTCCAGTGAAATAATTATTTTACATATGAAATGATTACTAATTCATTACTGTATTAAAATACTGTCTTAACATTAAAGACAACAAAAATCATCTTACAATCAATTCTTTTTTCCCATTTGTTTATTTTTACATTTTTCCACAAACATTTACTGTACATATCAAAACATTTTTGCTCATACTTTATAGTTCTTGACAGTTAATAAACAACTTTCAAAATTTCAGAATACTGAATTTTAAAGATAATGTTCAAAATATTTCTTATAATTTTGCATAATTTTATTTGTGACTCTATAACAACAGAAACAGTATGGTTTTAAATATTTTTGAGAAAATATTTACATGTCAGCTACTCAAATTGTTGATTTCAAAAATCTTTTCAAATTGTTGAAAAGCAAATGCCCAGCACTCTATTCACACATCAACCTTCTCAATTTAGCCCTGCCTACCAAGTGTTCTGTGATATGCTCTCTGCTAGCAAAGATCATTCTTTTTTTCTTCCTTCAAAGTCTTTCTCAAGGTAATCCTCTGGTGTGGTTGCTCTTTTGCAATCTCTACTGCTTACAATGCTTAGCTGGAAAAGCCCAGGTTATTTTATGTTATAAATTCTTTCATATATCTTCTCTAATCCTCTCTGCCAGGAAGAACTATTTATGGTGCCAGGTCATCTTTCTAAGAGCTTCTGTTGGCTTACTTGAGATCCATCTTAGTTCCCTAGTTTTCTGATTAATCTTCATGTATGACATTCCAGTCAAAACCCCATCTTACAATCAATTCTTTACATTCTTCAGTTTGCTACTTTCTATAGAAACTAAAGTCAAAGAGAAGTAATTTTGTCATATCATAAATTATGATAAATTATCTTTTTTTTAATTTAGAGATTTTTTGCTATAAGGTGAATATACTTGCTGGAGAGACAGAGAGACAGAAAGGGAGAAATCACACCCCTGGGCAGATGGCCACTCCACAGACACTTCTCCTCCATTCTCCTCTTGAGATTTGGGGCACTCACGCACACGCACCCAGGCATGAGTTTTAACCTGCCAGGTCCGGGACTTGAACCGCAGCTGACTATGTGAGAGTTCAGTGACATAATCATTATGCCATTTGATGGTCCTGGTAATCATTTCTAAATAAAAATTATGAGGTTACTTCAAAAATCTTTGATGAATACGGAGTTAAACTATAAGTTTGTTTTGGTGCAAGAAAAATCCGAAATCCATGCATATTTTTTCAGAATATGAATTTTCTATTAATTTTTGGAAAACTCCTCATAAATATAGCTTGGAAACTAGAGTAGTAAGTAGAGATTCCTCTAATTTTATCAGAAATAATGAAATCAAAAGTCTTAACAGATTTTAAATATCAGGCCTAATAGTATTTCTCTACATATATATACATATTCTCTATATTATTAACATATATTCCAATGTAGTCATTACCAATTTAGATTCTTTCTATAGAGAAAAGAAAGGCAGCCTGAAACCTACAGAATAGCTGTGACTCGTCATCCTCTGCTGTGCTGCCCACCTGGATGCCCAGTGAAGGACCCTGTGCTCTGCTTCCTGCTCTTTAATCTCATTCTCTGTGCCACTCCTCAGAGCTGCGTCACACAGTTCCTCTAGAACTGCAAAGTGTACCAACTACCCAACCACACTTGCCAGTCCTGAGGCATCATGAGTACACTGGGTTACCCATGATACTTTCATTTCACCAGAGACGATGTAAAAGATTCTGGTTCAAAGATGAGCAATAGGAATTGTATCAGAGTACCGCTGGGTAAGGACGAGCATAAACACATTTTACATAGTTCAGTTGGAATTATTGTTCCTTTGACTGGTCTGACTCATCATTAGCGGTCACAGAATCACCAAGCCAGGGTCAGTTTACGTAAGGGCTAATTAGCTCCTTCCTCTAATGAAAATCTCACACCCTTAAGGCACATTCCATCCACTGAGTGTGATTCACAAGGAGGAACAGACACTAATGTCGCAAGCTCAGTGTGAAGGGCCTCCACAGCTCCAAGCTACCTCTTCCAGCTAAGGGCTACTGGAAAGAAACTACATTCCAGGAAATCTCATTGGCCCCAAAACAGCTTTGATGAAATCC